TTCTGAAAAATGTTTTCTAGAAAATGAGTCATTTTCCAGAAAACATTTTCCTTTACAGTGTTTGGTTGCATTCTGGAAAACTGTTTTTGTGTGTTTGGTTCATTTTCTGGAAAATGAGTAGAATTGTATAATTAAACATTTTAATTATTTTATTTAGAATATTACAACATGTATAATAATATAATAATAATTTTAAATATAATAAAAAAATAACTAATAATATATCAAAAATATTATGGTGGTGGTGGTGGTGTAGTGGTAGTGGTGTTATTTGTTATATAATAATAATAATAATAATAATAATAATAATAATAATAATAATAATAATAATAATAATAATAATAACAACTGGTGGTGGTATGACGGTGGTAGCAGTGGTGGTGATTGTGTGGTGGCAGTGGTGGTATGGTGGTGGTGGTGGGGGCGACGACGATGGTTGCGTTGGTATGGTGGTGGTGGTGGTGGTGGCGGCGGCGGCGGTATGGTCGTGGTCATGGCGGCGTTGGTGGTGTGATGGTGGTGGTGTGGTGGTGGCGGTGGCGGCGGCAGTGGTATGGTGGTGGTGGCGGCGGCAACGGTGGTGGTGGTGGAGGCGACGGTGGTTGCGGTGGTATGGTGGCGGTGGTGGTGGTGGCAGCGACGGTGGTTGCGGTGGTGGTGGCGACGGCGGTGGTGTGATGGTGGTGGTGTGGTGGTGGTGGCGGTGGTATGGTGGTGGTGGCGGCGGTGGTAGTGGTGGTGGTGGCGGCAGCGACGGTGGTTGCGGTGGTATGGTGGTGGTAGTGGCGGCGACGGTGGTGGTGGTAGTGGTAGTGGTGTGGTGGCGGTGGTATGGTGGTGGCGGCGGTGGTTGCGGTGGTATGGTGGTGGCGGCGGCGGCGGTGGTATGGTGGTGGTAATGGTGGTGGTGGTGGCGGTGACGGTGGTTGCGGTGGTATGGTGGTGGTAGTGGCGGCGAAGGTGGTGGTAGTGATGGTGGTGTGGTGGCGATGGTATGGTGGTGGTGGTGGTATGGTGTTGATGGTGTTGGTGGTGGTAGTTGTTGCGGTGGTATGGTGTTGGTGGTGGTAGTGATGGTGGTGTGGTGGCGGTGGTTGCGGTGGTATAGTGGTGGTGGCAGCAGCAGTAGTGGTGGTGATGGTGGTAGTGAGGTGGTGGTGGTATGGTGTTGATGATGGTGGTGGTGTCATGTTGGTGTAAAAGTCGGAAAATGACTTCCCCTAAAAAAAAGGGGAAGTCATTTTCCTCCAAAACAAACCTATTTTCCAAAGTCAACGGAAAATGATTTCTGTTGACTTGATTTTCCAAGCACATCCAAACAATGGAAACTTAGAAAATGATTTCCAGAACTCATTTTCCAGGTTTCCAAACACACCCTAAATATTTTTATAACATTTCAAAGTGTTTTAAAATTTCACCCTACTCAGTCCATAATATTTTACTATAAATATTTTTATAACATTTCAAAGTGTTTTAAAATTTCACCCTACTCAAGTACAGTTTTGGCTTCATTCTTAACATCATATAGGCTATCATACACATTTTATTATAATTTATTAATGTATTTAAATCGTATTATAGGTGTTTGATATTTTGGCATTAACAATTCTAAAATCATTTTAAGTACGCCTCCACTCATATAATTTTCTGGATCCGCCACACACACACACACAAACACACACACACACACATTTAGTTTTATATTGATAATCATAATTTGTGTATATACTTTAAAGGGGATATAATTTAAAAAGTAAATTATTAATTAGATTGTCTAATATAATTCTCCTACTAATTAATTTCATGTTACTATAATTCATACATTTGAAAACTTTGATATAATTATAAATAATGTATCCACAATATAAAATATTTTATAATTGACTTAATAATTAACTGTTAATTTTTATTGCGTAATACAAATTGTCAATTATTAAACATTATTTATGGTAATTATTGTATGTCATATAATACTAATGGCCTGTTTGGTTCACGGAATAAGCCGGGAATGGCATAACATTTCCAGTAATAGGCCTATTCCTTTGTTTGGTAACCATTTCTATTACCAGGAATAATATTCCTGGTAATAGCTATTACTAGGGACCCCTTGGTATTAGCTTATTACTGAACGCTCAGGAATAGATTTTAGAATCTATTTTCTTTTTTTACCCATTTCTTTAACCTAATTTTTTTGTCCTATATATAAAATTATCCTATTTCACCACTGTCGCCGCCGCCGCCGCCACCACCATCGCCACAACCGTCGTCGCCCCCACCACCACTGCCGCCCCCACCACTGCCACTGCCACCACCACTGCCGCCCCCACCACTGCCACTGCCACCACCACTACCACCACCGCCACCACCACCATCACCGCCTCCGCCGCCACCACCACCACCGCCACCAGAACCACCACCACCGCCACCAGAACCACCACCCAGCAGCACCACCGCTACCACCACCACCACCGCCACAACCGTCGCCCCCCTCCCCCACCACCACTGCCACAACCATCACCGTCACCACCACCACCATCGCCCCCACCACTGCCACCGCCACCACCACCACTACCACCCCAGCACCACCACCACTGCCACCACCATCGCCACGACCACCGCCATCACTATCGCCACCATCACATATTTTTATAAGGGTATTTATGTCTTTTAAAACATATTTCATTTATATTCCTTAAATCAACCAAACACTGTAATATAATTCCTAAAGTCGATTCCTTCCGCGAACCAAACAATAGAATACAATTCCTATTCTATTCCTTGCATATTCAATTCCTTATGGAATATCATTCCTATTACCTCAAAATTCATTCTGTGAACCAAACATGCTGTAAAATTATTAGGTAGGAGTTTTACAATTAAGTTGTAATATTATTAAGGGAGAGATAAACTACTCTCTTATTACTGAAAATGCACCCGGTAAAGACGGAAAGATTGAATCAAAACAAAACCCAACGCTTTGAATTTCATTTTGCTTTTTTACTGTATTCCTATCATTCTTCCCTCCCTATCTATTTACATATACATATAATCCGTCCCTCTCCAAACATTATCCACTTGATGAGCAAGGAGCTTTACTATTTTTCGGTCGATCTTTCTAGATCCGTATCTTCTCCACAAACATAAACAAAAAAAAAAAAAAAGAATATAACATTTGCTTTTTCTTACGAACTGCTTTTCTTGTTTAAAAAACCGAAAAATATCAAAAAAAAAAAAAAACAAAATAAACAAACAAACAAACAAAACAAAACAAAACCCAAAATGGAAAAAAAAAAAAAAAGAAGAAAATAAGATAATGAAAACCTCACCATTGCAAATCACGTATCAACCTCAACTGTGGAAGATCGTGGAAAACTGGAAATATCAAAAACAATTGTTTGCTACATTATTTCTTACAGCTGTTGCAGCCATAAGGGGCGGAGCCATGATTCGTTGGTGCGGGGGGCCAATCACAATTTGAGAGAGACAAGTCATAAACCTAGAATAACGCCCGAACATGCATAAACCCACCCAAGAATGCTAAGAACGTTACGAATAACAAGATTCACCATATAAACCCTAACACAAGCTCTAAATAATCATAAACCCAAGAACATGCAATCAATCACACAAGTTCATCAAGAACATCAAGAATAACAAAAATTCATACCATAAATCCTAAAGACAAGCTCTAAAAGGCAAACATACAAAATCACGCATTCAATCATCCAACGGAGCCAATCAATAAAAGATAGCAAGAAAAATAGGTTTTGTAGGACATGGGCTACCTGGTAGCTTTAATTAAACTTCTTACGACTTCTAGGATCTTTCCTCAAGGTCTTCTTCCTATCAATCTTTCACCAGGCTTGGTGATAGGGGATTCTTTGCCTGAATTCTTGGGAGGGAATTTTCGAGTAATGAAGAGGGAGAGAGGGTTCAAAAGCTTTCTAATTCATTTTATATAGATTTAGGATTCCTAACTAGAATATGGATCCAACTTCTTTATCCTATCGGGCTTTAAGGCTCTAATATGGGTAAGGGTTCACGGTCCACCGTGGACCACACTAATTAATTAAGGGTCTCTGCTTACTTAAATTCCTTTTTAATTATTCTTTTAACATAATTAATTAAATAATTAATCCGAGTTTAAAGAGCGTAACATAGGGTGTTACAAAGAGGGCGCACTTGGAAACTTGGGATCTCACCAGGAAATGCGAAGGTTGCTTTGGCCAAAGAGAATCCGCTAGTTTATAAAAAGTGGACAGAGCAATGATCGTAAATGTGAAATGAAAGCATTTTTCGCATTGTAGGCTGACAAACATGAGTTCTTGCTTAACAAAGGCTTCTCGCTTGATCAATCATTACTTTCAGTTATGCCGTGAATTTCAATTGTATCGTATATTCGTATGTTAGTTAAAGAGGTAGCGAACTACTATGATCTATATATTCCCCATCTATATCCAATCCCAAAGAGAATAGAAGCGAGTCGCTTCCGGCTTGTTTTGTAGTCGTAGTCTTTTAACTTATGTAGTCGTCGATCTGCCTACACGCATGCATTCGTCGGAATGCCTCCTTAGTTCAGGACGAAGCCAAGCTGATACATACAATAGGCAAAAGAATATGCATGCATGAATCAACTCAATTTTGCACCATACATAATACTATAAGTCTATGAGACTACTAGTATTATGAAGTACTACATACAACATATATTCATATCTTAAGAGTAACGTTATTATATATAATACGGTTCACAAAAATATGAACACTAACCTTAACCTTAAGTATTAAGTTTGAACCTTAACTGTAACCTTTTAAACAATTACGGTATTTGGTTTTGATCCTCCACTTGAACCGAATCACGGTCATCTCTACTTGGAAGTTAAGGGAAGATCCTCAAATTTGTAAAAAGTTAAGCAACATTTTTAATATTTATAAAAATAAGAGGGTAGAAAAGCAATTTATGTTTCTTCTTTTTAGTAATTCTTAGAAAACTTGAAGCCCCCCAACCAAAGTCCAATTTTCAATTTTTAGAACTCTCATTTCCCTCTTTTTAGGGTTTTGCTTCGTTTCCACTTCCAGCAGACCAGGACTCTGATCACTTGTAGATCTAGTGTTGAAGTTAGGATTTGTTTGGATCGTGCAATCAAAATGGCATCATCAGTGGTCTCCGCGCCACGCGCCGCGGCTTCCTCGTCGAAAACCGAGACCTTCGTCGACAACAAGCGCAAGGACGACATACGCATGGCGAACATCGCGGCGGCGCGGGCGGTGGCCGACGCCGTACGCACGAGTCTCGGCCCGAAAGGGATGGACAAGATGATATCTGCGGCCAACGGCGAGGTAATCATCACCAACGACGGCGCCACCATTCTAAACAAGATGGAGGTACTTCAGCCCGCCGCCAAGTTCCTCGTCGAGCTCTCCAAATCGCAGGACGTTGTCGCCGGAGATGGAACCACCACCGTCGTTGTCATTGCCGGCGCTCTCCTTAAGCAGTGCCTTACTCTTCTTTCGGCAGGCATTCATCCTACAATTGTCTCTGATTCTCTGCACAAGGCTTCTACAAAGGCAGTAGAGATCCTAACCGCCATGGCTATTCCGCTTGAGCTCTCGGACCGCGATTCACTCGTTAAATCAGCCAGCACTGCTCTTAACAGTAAGGTAGTGTCTCAGTACTCAACTCTTTTAGCTCCGTTAGCTGTTGATTCCGTGCTCTCTGTTGTTGACCCTGCAAAACCAGACCTTGTAGATTTAAGGGATATTAAGATTGTGAAGAAATTAGGAGGCACAGTAGATGATACCGAGCTAGTAACAGGTTTGGTTTTTGACAAGAAAGTGAGTCATGCTGCAGGAGGCCCAACTCGTGTTGAGAAAGCTAAGATTGCTGTGATTCAGTTTCAAATTTCACCTCCTAAGACTGATATTGAGCAGAGCATAGTGGTCTCTGACTATACTCAGATGGATAGGATTTTGAAGGAAGAGAGGAACTACATTTTGGGGATGATCAAGAAGATTAAGGCCACTGGGTGCAATGTTTTGTTGATCCAGAAGAGTATCTTGAGGGATGCAGTGACTGATTTATCTTTGCATTATTTGGCAAAAGCAAAGATTTTGGTCATTAAGGATGTTGAGCGGGATGAGATTGAGTTCATTACCAAGACTTTGAATTGTTTGCCCATTGCAAACATTGAGCATTTCAGGGCAGAGAAACTGGGTTATGCAGATTTAGTTGAGGAGGTATCACTTGGAGATGGTGGGAAGATTGTGAAGATAACAGGGATTCAGGATATGGGACGGACCACTTCTGTCCTGGTTCGAGGGTCAAACCAGTTGGTCATTGATGAGGCTGAGAGGAGTTTGCATGATGCATTGTGTGTTGTGAGATGTTTGGTGAACAAGAGGTTCTTGATTGCAGGGGGAGGAGCACCTGAGATTGAGCTCTCAAGGCAGTTGGGTGCATGGGCAAAGGTCTTACAGGGTATGGAGGGTTATTGTGTCAGATCATTTGCTGAGGCCCTTGAAGTTATTCCATATACATTATCTGAGAATGCTGGATTGAACCCGATAGCTATTGTTACTGAGTTGAGGAACAGGCATGCACAGGGTGAGATCAATGCTGGGATCAATGTGAGGAAGGGGCAGATCACGAACATCTTGGAGGAGAATGTAGTGCAGCCACTTCTTGTGAGTACAAGTGCAATTACATTGTCTACTGAATGTGTTCGGATGATTTTGAAGATTGATGACATTGTTACTGTCAGGTAGATCAATAGTACTACAAAGTGTTGGAAAAAGAGAAGCTTTTTTGTCATCCTCTGTTTTTGACTTGCGTGTCCTTCGAAACTTGAATGTGTTGCTTCTTAGCTAATTTTATTGAGACTCACAGTAGGTGCTTCACGGAATCTATTACTAGTTGAATTCTTCGGTTTAAGTATTTGATTGTGTTCTCCATATAATTGAATCTTGACATTTAAGAAATGCAGTATGTGTGCCAGTTATCCTTAAATCAATCTCTGGCGTCTGAAACTAGAAACAAGTCTCTTTTCTCTAAAATGTTTATCGTTCAATGTATCATTCTATGCTTATTTGATGGCATTACTGAAGATTTTCTAGGATAGAACAGTACGGTTTGTCATTCTCTTTGACCTTCACATTTTTACTCATTTCTCCTTTCATCTCTCTGATATCTAGTTCTGTACTGACTAGTGAGATTTGGCTTTAGCAATTAGCATTATCAGATTATATGCAAATTCATTGGTCCATTAGACTATGCCTTCTAGCTAGACCCACCAAACTGCAAGGTCTAGATTAAATCATAAGATTCCAATCATATCTAACTTGCAGGTATGAAAATGGTTGGGCTGGTGCATTTTGGTTGACAAATATACAAATCAGATATACTTTCCAGAGTAGTATTTTACATTAAAAAGGTAGTATCCATCCATTTACTGGTCAAAAGCCACACTTTCTCCAGCTCAAACTGGTCAGTACTGTTAACCTTGGAAACGACCAAACCAGACCTCATAATACTGAAAGGGGCTTCTCTTCAATGATTTTGCAGTACTGTTGACCTTGATTTAGTTTATTGAAAAAAAAAAACCATAAAAAAAAAAAAAAAGGAATCTTATAGTCCAATCAGATTAACATGTTTTGATACTGCTGGTCTTATATCTAACCATGCATGTCTGTACTGAATATTGTTAACTGATCAGCATGCCTAGGGGATGTCAGCTCCAACTGGGCATTCTTCATCTTTCTTGTTCCCATCAAGAAGAGGTTTCTTCAATGTCTCTTCGTTTTCTTGGCTATTGATCTTCCTATCCTTAGTTTTACCCCACAAGACTAGATAGAGCCCAGCTACAATGAAAACCCCACCAATAATCCTGCAAAAAAGTTTGATAATTGGGAGAAATAGATCATTAGCAGAGCCAAATATAACGTGTTCTCAGTACTATACATTTTTCTTTTTATTCTCACGTACCCTCCGGTGTATAGCCGATCACCAATAATGACAAATGCCATAACGGCAACTAATACTGTCTGGACCGGCTGAAAGCTGGCAACAAAAACTGGCCCTCCTTTCTGAATGCACCATGTCTGAAGAGAGATGACAATCCCAGAAGACACAATGCCCTAGACAAGGAAAACTTAATAAAATTAGTGATTTCTGTGAAATAGAGCGAGTGTAAATAAGCAAAAAATCAATGATTTGGAGGTTTTTAAGGTCTCACAGCATATAAAATCAGAACAATTTCCTCTCCAGACTGGATTTGCCAGTGCTTAAGATCCCTTTCTGCAAAAGCTGCTATGACTATGAACTGAAGTAATCCAAAGAAGCATGTAAATGAGGTAAGTGAGAGCTTGGCTGGGTACTTCTTTAGCACAGGAGCCTGCAAGGTTTAAAATGATTTTAGAAAATGTAGCGTTACAGTTAACATAGTATGACAGATACATTTATATTCCCTTCTACTATGTGATTGTTGAGCATATAACCATTAATGTGCAATCCAACTATCAGCTTAGGCTTTTAGTTGAGATGGAGCACATGCTTCAATTTGGTATCAGACGTGTTGCTTGGGACCCACCGCACACGTGAGGGGCACACGTGAGGGGGCCCATGTGAGGGGGTGTCTTGAGCATATAACCATTAATGTGCAATCCAACTATCAGCTTAGACTTTTAGTTGAGATGGAGCACATGCTTCAATTGTGATTACTGATGCATCATTGTGTTCATTTATATGATTTGTAGCATTTTGGTGCTATTTCTGTCTGTTTAGGGATACCTGAAGAACCATCCAGCCTGCCCATGATAAGCAATGACCGAGCAAGTAGATACAACCCCATGTCCAGTTGAGCATTTTCTCGGAAGAAGCAGCCCCGGTTTCTTCTGTGGAAACACTTCCTCCTACCAGAGGAGGGCCTTTGTAGAGACTGATAATGGTAGCACCTCCCACACTTGCTATGGTCCCGAGAATTTTTGCTAAACCATCTCTTCTCAAGAAACTTACTTGCTCTAGCCTGTGAGGAAAAAAGAGCAACAAAATTACATAATTTTGTTGGTCAGACCATGAGGTGTCCTGAGCAGGCCCTAACTGTAGGAGGCACCTTTAAGCCCGTACCATACTCAGACTAATCCCCATTTACATAATTTGAGAGAGAGGATAAAGTGGGATAGAGGTTGGGCAGGGGGTAGTTCTGTCCTTAAGAAACGCAATATACCTTAGAGCAGAAGCCATGATAAAAGTGATTGCGGGAACTGAATTCTGCATCGTGGATGCAAAGGTTGGGGATGCATAGTACAAACCCAAGATGTAGAATCCTTGGTTTGCCGTGATTCTGGATAGTGAAGCTCATAAGTTAGTTAGGAAGCCTTTAGCAGAGTTTAAGGAACAGAAAAATGAAAACATGAAACCCTGTAATCAGATTCTTTACCCTATTAATGCCAGGAGGAAAAACTGAACCAATAAGGAGAACGTTAGCGGGGGTCTTTCCTTCCTGTTAAAAAACCGGGTAAGTGAAAAACATCGTTAGTTGTTACCCAAGACAAGGAGAAACCTAGAAAACATTGAGTGGGAGAAATGGAAGAAAGACACTCACTTTTCTATGAAATAAGCAAAGGGTCCTAACAAAAGCAAGGCGATGATGTTTCTGTATACAGGATAGACGATTTTGCTGACACCAATATTGAGTGCAAGCCTCGAGACAATATGAAATCCGGCATAGCAGAGTTGCAGAGCAAGCGAGGCAAGAACAAGTTTGATTTTCCCAGGTACAACAACTCCTTTTGGCTCCATATCTTTGATGTGTATTTTATTTTTGTTACTGGACTTTTGATGTTAGATCCTCTAGTACATATGTACTATATTGTTTGCTTGGACACACACACACATATATATATATAGTCTCACACACAAAGTTGCCATTTGAAAAATGTGTACAGAGCTGTTTTTAATTCATAATTGTGGGGAAAACAGCCTCAGAAGCATATGCAATGCAATCATTTGGGATCTATGATGAGACCCAATAATCTCATAATCTCATTGTGTTATAATTTATTATCTATGGTGTAATTAAATTCTCTAGGTTTTAGTAAAATTGAATACAGAAACAAAAAAAAAAAAAAAACAAAAAAACAAAAAAAAACAAAAAAAAAAAACAAAAAAACAAAAACAAAAAAAAAACAAAAACAAAAACAAAACAAAACAAAACTGCACTTATTCTGTCACATACCTTAAAATTTTCGTTTAAAATGAACTATTATAATTGCTGTTCTTTTTTACTCAAAAAGAAATTAGAACATTAAACACTTGATTGGTAAAATTTTATTTTCATTCCTCAAATTAAATTTTTAGTTCTCAAATATATTTAAAAATTATTTTGTAATTAAATCTATCTTTTTATTTTCTCATATGAGTTAATATAAAAAGGACACTACATTTTATATATTCAATTTTAACATTTTAATTATGGTTTACTTAATTTCAAGTAGCCACCATGGTGTTTTTTTGGTTTGGTTTGGTTTGGTTTTGTTTTTGTTTTTGTTTTTTTTTTTTTTTTGTTTTGTTTTGTTTTTTTTTTTGTTTTTGTTTTTGTTTTTTTTTTTTGTTTTTGTTTTTTTTTGTCTCCAGAAGTTGCTAGGCCATAATTTCATTTCATTTTTAGTTTTTTTTTTAAAAAAATAATTAAACGATTTTTTTTAAAAAAAAATAATTAACCGTTAAAAAAAAATAATTAAACGATTTAAAAAAAAAAATTCGGATGAATCTCAACTGACTTGGCGTCTATCATTGTCCAATTAATATCACTGTTACATATCACTTGCACTAGTATTTTATTATTATTATTTTTTAAATGAAGAAGTCAATCAATTCACAAAATAGCTTCATATTTTATAAATTTAAAAATAAATGAACTTGAATATATATTTTAAATTTTCTTATAAAAAATGAAACTCTACAAATGGAGGTTGTTAACTTTGATGTGGTTAGATTTGGACGGTATTTTAGACTAAGATCAATTACCTTGATTTGTTTTGTGTGTGTGTGTGTGTGTTTTTTTTTTTTTTTTGGGGTATTTTTAACACATTTATTTCCATTATAGGCATGGTAAAAAAAAATCGCTAGGTGCTCCTCGGGCATCCGAGGGCGCTTAGGCGGCAATTAATCGGCGCCTAGGTGTCCGTGTATTTATTTTATTTTATTTTTGAAGATATGTTTGAATTTTGTTTTAATTTTTAAGAGTAATAATTATAAACTATATAATACTTTAATAGTTAATACTATAATATTAAATATTAATCTAAAAAATATTTAGGGGGTGTTTGGTTGGATGGAAAACATTTTCCATGGAAAATGTTTTCCTAAAAGTGAAGGAAAATGATGTTTTATGTTGTTTGGTTGGATGGAAAACTTTTTCCATTGGAAAAAGTTTTCCTTAAGAATAAGGAAAACAAATTCCTAGCTTATGCTAGGTATTTTGTTTTCCATGGAAAACATTTTCCATGGAAAACTAATATGACAATTTTACCCTCATCATTCTTTATTAATTACTCTTATTATTATTATTATTATTATTATTATTGTGTAGGGTTATATTTGTCATTATACTCATTATTCCTTACCCTTCCAAACTCAACCAAACAATGGAATTCATATTCCTAGTAATTTCTTTTCCACCAACCAAACACTGGAATCTGTTTTCTTGGAATTTATTTTTCATGGAATTTCAATTCCATTTCCCTTCAAATATTTTCCAGCGAACCAAACGAGCTGTTAGACTTTGAACAATTTAGGATTATTTTACTCAAAATGATGTCATTTTGAGTGAAATAACATATTTTAAAGGGAAAATGGCACTTTTTACCCTGAGTTATATACTTATAGCATTTTTTCCCCCTCAATTATTTAGGTAAGCGCATTAGCCCCCTCAGTTATTCTAAAAGTGGTGCTTTTTCCCCCCTGATATATTCAATTGACATTTATACCCTTAAAGTAAATATTTTATTTATTTTACTTCTCCAACAAATTATTGCGTATACGTAGGGATGACCACAGTTCGGTTTGAATTGAACCGGATACTATAGCAATCGAATTAATAGTTTTCGGTTATAATTCAGATCTAGAATCCAATATTTAAATGTCAATTTATTAAAATTATGTATCAAAAAATTGAATCTTGAACCGTGAACCGGCGGTTCTGGATCCGATTCGCAATTTTGAAATAGTATAAATAGTATAAATTCAACAATATATGTATTTTATTTTTAAAATAGGATAAATTCAACAATATATGTATTTTATTTTTTCAGTTCGGAACATAAACCGCCCGTTCTGGTTCACGATTTTAATAAACTCTAAATATCGGATTTCGATTCTAAATTGTAATTGGAATATTTCGGTTTGGTTGCTATAGTGTTTGTTTGGTTTGAACCAAATTATGGTCATAATTTGTTGGAGAAAAAAAATAAATTAAATATTTAGTTTAAGGATAAATATGTTCATTTAACATTTCAGGGGGGAAAACAGCCACTTCAATAATTTAGGGGGAAAAAATTGCTATAGGTATATAACTCAGGGGGAAAAAGTGCCATTTTCCCTATTTTAAAAGAATAAGAACAATAGCATTGGCTGACTAGGCGGCCTAGTCGGTGCCTAGGAGGCCTAAGAGGTCAGCGCCTAAGCGGCCTATGCGGTGGGTAGGCCGCCTAGACCACGAATTATGGTGATACGCTAGGCGGTCGGCCGGCGCCTAGCGCCTAGAAGGGATTTTTGCAACACTGATTATAGGGTCATACACAATCAAACATCATTATTGGTAATCATTCAAATTCCACCATACTACCAAACATGCAAAATAATTTTTACCAAAATTCATTACTATTACCAAGTATTTGATTCCTATTCCTATACGAACCAAACACACCTAAAAGTGAAGTTTTTTAAAGTTTGAGAACGAGAATTAAAAGGATTAATATTTAATGCACCGACGGTGTATAGAACCTATACACCGGCGATTAACTACAAAGTAACACATCATTCAAGAGCAATACAGTGCACCTTTTTAGGAATTCGATCAAATAATATTTCAATACACTTCGTTAATTTCTATAACCCCAATACCCCATGAAGCTTTGGCCTTTGTGGGAATTGCAATACAGTGAAAGTTTTAGTGGTTGCGTTACAAAAAGGTTACTTTAAATAAATATGTTTAATTTTAGTTAAAATATATTTAGTTAAATGTTATGATTTATTTACAAAAAAGGCTTCCTTAATTTTGTAATTGCTTTTTAATGACGTGTCATTTTGTGGTTAACCGCCAGTACATAGATATTATACAGCTCCAGCCGCCAGTGCATTAAATATTAATCCAAATTAAAATACAACTCAAATTTGAATTGAAGATCAAAAGTAGAATAAACTAAAAACAAAAATACCAAGACTATGTGGTCTAATGGTACCCGGGTTGGACTTCCATTTGGAAGGTTGTGAGTTTGAGCCTCAATGGAGGCGTTATTGGTTCTTTATGTTTCAGTAGGTTGAGAAAGTGTATATGAACGGAGACTACATTATAATAGAATTAGCAGCCATTCAAAACGAAAATGAGAAATATTTTGTTTCCAAACTCAATGAGAAAAAAAAAGAGAGTATTTTATTTTTATACATTTGTTTCTTGAAAGATGTTTTATCTTAAACTAAAATCTTGAACTATTGTGGGACAAGTTCATAATTTAGGGTTGGTCCTAACATGTGCAAGACGAGAAACAACATATATAAGATCTTTAGTTTTTAGAGGTTCACATTTTAACAATTACTAAATGTGATCAAAAGTTTGATGGATGATTTTGTATTTAGGACAATATTACTTTTGATGTGGAATTTTGAATGGTATATTTTCTTTGTTGAATATTACGTATTTTGACAAAAGTTTTTAATAAACATTATATTCTTTATTTATATTTACAATTATATAAAAGAAGATCCAAATTGAATTATTACGCAGATCATGTTTCTTTAGGATCAGTTCTAAATTAATAGGACACATTTAAATATTTTGATTACTCTTAAGTCCGATTGACATTCAAATCCAAAAGTTTACCGCAATTTATATTGTGGTGGAACCTAGATCAAAACGACGTAGTTTTGATATTTAAGCTTTAACAGATTTTGTAGTTTTTTATTTTTCATGTTTCAACACATATTTTAATTTATTCTAGATATAGAATCAATACTCCTAAGGTACAAAATCTAATAAGACGAGACACAAAAATTTACAACACACATACACATTTTATATATTTACTTGTATTCTCAAAAATGATATATGTAGATAGTTTATGTCCTATAAGCACATAAATTTCATAATACAAGACATAAATTCGTAAAATAAGATGCACAATATGTTGTGTGTTACAGAATTACTAATCTATTTCAGGTGCAAAATTCATACGCTTACAGGGCGTTTGGTTGGAGGGATTTTAAATTCCATTCCCACTTAATTCCCACCTAATTCCAAAGGCCATTAAATTCCGTAGTTTGGTTGGAGGGAATTGCAATTCTATGGAATTGCAATTCCCCCATTTTCATGGAATTAAAATCCCATGTCCCCCCTGGTATTTTAATTCCTGGGATTTAAGGAAGAAAAAAAAATAGTGATGAGTCAAAATTATCCCTCCATTTTTTGACTAAAATTAATGCTTGACAACAACAATGGACATTTTGGACTTTATACTACTTATTCCCTTCCAATTCCCATGTATACCAAACATTGGAATTGAAATTCCCAGTAATTCTATTCTTGTCAACCAAACACTGGAATTTAAATTCCCACTTTATTCCCAGTAATTCAACTCCCATGGAATTACAATTCCTTTCCCACATAATTCCCCCACTCCAACCAAACGCCCTGTTAAGGTACAGAATCT